ACTGATATATCATTTAGTTTATTAAATAACATTTACTCCTGGGGGAATTCTGTGCCAAAAAATTAAAAATTCTGCGCACAATATATTAAAATTTTATTTGTCAAAATAACACTATATAATAATTTCTATTATTTTGTTAATTTATTTCAAAATACCTGTCAGCAAGTATTTCTGTAACAATACAGACACACAAAAATTCCCCGAGGAATAGACAGTTAAAGAAACCCCTACGACAATCCAATTCCTGTTTCTCTGCCCCCAGAACCTAGCCGAAGGACCAGACACTCACAGCCCCCAGAGCCCAACCGTGGCCGCCCCAGCCCAGAGACTCACACCCTCTACCACCCAGAGCCCAGCCATGACCACCCCAGCCCAGACACTCACATTCCCTACGCCCCAGAGGCCAGCTGGGGGGCCCCCCAGCCAAGACAGTCACACCCTCTACCCCACTCAGAGCCCAGGGATCCAGAGGGAGAAACAGCCTGATGCTGGATCCTAGGGTTGCATGGAGTTTCCTACATGCTGTCGCCTCCTTCCTTCAGGGGATGTTGGGAACTACAGCAGTTCCCTCCACCTTCCCCCAGCCTTGTCTTCTATTTGTGAGCTGGGCTCTGCCGGGTCCAGGGGCCCCCAGTGGTGGCCAACATCTCTGCAGCCCATTTCTGTGGGGAGGGGGAATGGAAATGCTGTGCGCACAACATTAATTTCTGCAAAATTCTGCATTGCGCAGTGGTGCAGAATTCCCCTAGGAGTAAACACTGCTTGATTGTTTTTTAAGCCAGACCTGTTTATTTTTTTTAAAGTACTCAGACTATCTGTACCCTTCACCAAAGTGATTGTAACATTTTAAAATAATTTGCCAAAAAAGCTAATTTTTTAAAAGACACTTACTTTTTAATGTGAATGTGACAATACTACATTTTAGATTCCTAATCAGCACAATGTCTCTGTGGCCTTCTGAACTGCATAGACTGGAGATGGCTATATTCTGGTCTACTCAGGTGATAGATCAGCTTCTGCATCTTGCAAACAAAGAAACCAAAGCATATCACAGAATTGCAGAGTTGCTCATTGGAGAGCTACAAATGCTCCTGCCACCTTTCACACTCAGCTACCTTCTATGCTGGTGTAAAACATCACAGCATTTAAGGCCTGATCCTGGGGGTGCGGACAGCCTTATTGTGATTTTAGGGCTGAATACTGAGAAGGGCTGAGCACAGGCCCAGATTAACCAATGTGCACTTGGTGCACTTGCCAGGGGGCTCCCAACCACCGGGAGAAACCCAACATCCCCCCTCCAAACACACACACATACACACAAAACCAACCCAGGTCAGGAAGGGGGAGGAGCAGACCGTTTTGGGGGAAGGGCCCTGCCTGTTCCCTGGGTGAGAGCCAATGGGCTGGTGTGGGGGAAGCTGGGCCAGCCCTGCAGGACATGAGTTACTGTGGGGTGAGTCGGGAGTCGGCTCATGCTCTAATGCCGCCTCTGGGGTCCCCCACCCTTGGGGGAAGGGAAGGTGGAGGGGTGCAAATTGCAACCATGCAGGTTTCCCCAAATTTAGACATAAACATCCTTACAGTTAAATCAAGTCAAGGAAGAGTGGCTTTGTTTCCTAGCAAACATAGCTTAGGCAGCCATCAGCACTTGATCATTTATACAGAGAGGGAACTGTTAAGCTGCTGCCAACTGCCCATAGTGCCTTTCAAAAACAGATGTTACTGTTAGAAAAATAACATACGCAGTTTGACATATGAGTGCTGCAATTTTAATTTAAAAGGGAGATGAGAAAATGTGGTTGAATTAATGAACTGAGGTAGATGATGTACAGTATGAAAAAATTATAACAGGAGAAAGTGGTGAGTACCCCCTTGCCTGAGATGGTTAAAACTAGATTGCATGGATTAATCATAGCTAGTAGGCAATAATCCTGCATTTGCATGAGGATGGATGGGTCTTTTCTGGCTCTAACTTCTATGATTTCATGTGGACTTTTTGGTCAATCCCCAGATGTAGTAACTGAAACTACATATTGACCAAGGTCTAAGATCAATATTTACCAGGAGGGGAATGATCAAAATCCACATGTGTTACATACCAATCAGTCTGTCACAAAAAATTAATGAATTGTAGTGTAGATTTTGCTATAACTTTGTTTTGATGTCTGGTGGCTTTTTCATATAAAGCAATGAATCTTTTGCATTCTAACCTGTCACTTTAGTTTATCTGGGTACCACCATCCTATAGGCTAGGAAGGACCTTGTCTTCAAAGGTAAATAGTACTACTTTTTTGTTTATTCCATAAACAAAGAACAAGTGACTTTCGGTCTGGACAACTTAGACAGAAGAAAAGAGTAAAGAAAGAAAAGAACAAATATAAGGGATCAGATCTGCCGCTGCAGCCAGTGGAGTGATGCCAATTTACACCAGTGGAGGATCTGCCTCAAGGTCTCCATGCAACTGCACAGTCTATGTGTTTCTGTAGGAGCAGCCAGCTTGGACTAATGCATGGGGAGTGCCTCTGCAGTCTGGCTAGGTGACCCACTTTACCTATGAAAGTGCCATGCATACAAAGCAGCCTTCTCGTTACATAGCCACACGCTTCATAAATGCTCCCCTCTGCTTCTGGAAGCAGCTGAGAGGGAAATGAGAAGACACAGAAGGGGAGATTACCAGCTCTCTGCTATGCGCCCCTTTCTGTCACTTGAATACGCCTTGGTGCCCTCTGATATAAAAGAATACAATTTTCTATTATGATTCATCATATGGTAGCCATTAGAAGCGCAAATAAGGATTATGGCCCCATTTTCTTAGACTTTGTGCAAGTAGTTAACATTGACATTTACCAGTTTGCCACCAGTCATGAATGAGTAAGGCTCTAATGTAGGTAGAGTCAAAAATAACTGATGTTAAAATCCAGTCACAAATCAAATACATACAGTATTTCACACATAGTTAAAACACTGTCTAATTAAGTCTTCAGTTAAATGGGTGTAATTTTGCTGTTCAGATTTATATACACCTTTGTAGACTATATTCTCTACAGTGAGTCATGATGTCTCTTCATAAATGTTGTTAGGGATACAAAGAAAATCTTTTGAAGCTTGTGTTTTTTGCAGATATAGCGTGACACAAGTGGGGACCTGAGAAGTTGTCCTGGTCATTCAGATGCTGCTTACTTCATTGGGAACAAAGTATATAGTAGGGTTCAGATTATAGTGCAGTTCTGAAATCTGCTCCCAGTTCTTTTTCTGAATTGCTGTCAAGCACAGTACTGGCAAGGGCTGGGGAAACTAGACTTCTCCGGAAACAGGCATTCTAAAGCAAGCAATCTGCTATCTAGGCTTAGGGGAAAGTCATAATTACACCGCAGTGATGATTTGCAATGCACAACAACACAAAGAAGTGAATTTCCTGCTTACTGAGTGTGAATTTTTGCCCCAAAGGCAAAAAATAATAATGGAAATGCATGGAATGACAGTGCTATCTGGAATTCTGTTCTCTTTTGGGAGGAAAAGGGAGGTCCTAATACAATAGCTTTTTTCTGTTGTAGATAACAAAATTCTGCTATATTACAAAAAGAGTTTGGAGAGTTGATTAAAATAATAAATCTGAGGTCACCTGTAGAAACATTATCACTGTTACAGCAATGTACACCTTGGCTGCTTGGAACATCATGGTAACAATGGAGATGATCCTCCTACTTCCGAAGCATAGGACCTTACCATCTGGGCTAATAGATCATCTCTAGCAGCAATATAAACCCTATAACATACAGCTGAGCTGTTCTGATGCTGTCCAGAGAAGAACAGCAGTACCTGTTCACACAAGCCAGTTCAGTGCAATACTTATATCATGTTTTCTATCCTACAGTAGGATCTCAGAGCTTGTTACAAATATTAATTAAGTCATAAAACATCTCTGTGAATTTGGTAAGTATTATTATAGCCATATTGCAGTTGGTGAATTGAGGCACGGAAAGAAATAGTGACTTCTGCAGTGTCACATGGGAAATCTATAGCAGAATGGGGAATACAGTCCAGGCATAAACTAAGGGTGAATCTAGCCTGAAATGACTTTTCTGCATTAATCGTCAACTTCAAAATATTTCTATCTATGCTACGATATAATTAGTGCTTGATTATTTTTTATTCAAATGATTTATTCATGTAATAATGCAGATTTTGGTGCCTAGAGGAATTAAAATAAGTACAGAACTTGCTGCTGAGAGATAGTGCTGTGTTAGTAGCACCTAAATTATAAGTCACGTGACCACTGGCATTCATGCAGTGATTATGGGATGCAGGTCAGTGAGACCCAGACAGTTTTTAAACCACTAACAAGTGAACTCTCAGACACACAATTGAACTCTGAGACACTAGCAATTGAACTCATGTGAAATCAGTCTACAGAGGCTAAGAGCTGCTCATGTAAGTGGAATTTTCAAACTACAAATAAATTATAATGGGAGGGTAAATAGGACCCCCCTAGGGAGCTGATGTACACACAGCCTGCTGCTCTTGCAAGATCTATTTCTACTACTTGCTTTGCTGGAGAGATTGAGAACTGTAGCAGAATGAAATAGCTAAACTATGGACTGATAACTTTGGAAATGGAAGAAAAAGAAAATTCTACACGAAAGTCAAATGTGTTAGTCTCTTGTTAGTATGGATGGGTATAATGTCATTCATTTTCAACAGGGCAGCATCGGGGGGGATGTTGCTGGAGGAACCCATGTAAACTGAAGGACGGCTCTTTCAAAATATATAATTTTGTTCTGTTTATTTCTGTATGAAAATATTTTTAACTTTATTTTGAAACATTTCCCTTTCCAACCCAAGTGTTGTTCTGTTTGCATTTTTGATGGAACTACTTGTCTTTGCAATGAAAATGTGTGAAACATTTGAATTTTCACAAGTTTTCAAGACAAAAGCCAGTTTTGCTTGAAAATTGGACTCATTTTGACTCAGCAATATTGTGTATATCATGATACAAAAAGTCAGTGTAGTCAAAGAGACCAAAGCCCATGTCATCATCAGATTCCTCAGATTCTTCTTTCTTTTCTTCCTTTCTTCTCCTCAGCAGAGGCAGCCCCACCAGCGGGAGCAGCACCCCCAGAAGGAGCAGCAGCAGTTGGAGCACCACCAGCTCCTACATTACAGATCAGGCTTCCAATGTCAATTTTAGCTAGAGCCTTTGCGAACAGGCCTGGCCAGAAAGGTTCAACATTTACTCCAGCTGCTTTAATAAGTGAATTAATTTTGTCCTCCGTGACGGTGACTTCGTCGTCATGCAGGATGAGCGTGGTGTAGATGCAGGCGAGCTCGGAGCTGGAGGCCATGGCTGAATGGGCGGGTGGCGGTGGGGCATGGTGCTAGTCACTGGGATGTAACGGCCTTAGCTTCAGCTGAAGGACACAGCACCTTTTGCGGCCAGAGAGACAAGAGAACCATTCATGACACTTTTCTCAAATACACTTATTTCCATATGGAAAAGCAACAAAAAAAAAAAATCAGAGTTTGTTACAGATATTTCTCACAGCTGTGCTGGGAAGTTTCTGGTCTGCACTGTGATCGGTCACATTTCTGGGGTTAACTGAACCTCTGTGGTCTGTGGTCTGCTTGAGGGTGCCAATTTAGGTTTCATGCTTCCAACCATCACCTCTGTATGGGTGGGGACCTGCAGCCCTCTTCCTCCAGACTGGGGATGTAGCCTTGCAGTCTCCCTGCAATCCACTGTGTTTATCCCAGTAGGTCTGAGCTTAGCCTAAGGATATGTCTACACTGCAATTAAAAACCTGTGGCTGGCCCATGCCAGTTGACTCAGACTCATGGGGCTTGGGCTAAGGGGTTGTTTAATTGTGGTGGCAACTTTTGGGCTTGGCCTGGAGTCCAGGCTCTAGGACCTTGCAAGATGGGAGGGTCCCAAAGCTTGGGCTGCAGCTCAAGCCTGAATGTTTACACTTCAACTAAACAGCCCCTTAGTCTGAGCCCTGTGAGCCCGAGTCAGCTGGCACGGGCCAGCCGCAGGTATCTAATTGCAGTATAGATATACCCATAGAGGCCCAGATCCGCAAAATGACGTTGCATTGCAAAGGTGAGTGTCACAGTGCCAGGGCCGCCAAGTGGGGCAATTTGCCCCAGGCCCCAGGCCCCGCACAGGCCCCCATGAGTATGTCGGAGGCTCCCCCCGCCTCCGTCTTCCCCCATCCCCCGGCGTCTCAGCTGGTAAGAGGGCGGGGCTGCGAGCTGCGGCCGAGCGGCTCCTGGACGCAGCGCGCTGAGGCTCCGGGAGAGGGGGTAAGCGGCATGGTAAGGGACCAGGACTGGGCACCCCCCAACCCCATCCCCCACAGCCCTAACCCCCAGCTCCGAGCCCAGCCCCTCTGAGCCGTACACCCCCCGACCCCATCCTCCCCACAGCCCTGACCCCAGCTCCCCACAGCCCTGAGTCCAGCCCC